TATATATATATATATATATATATATATATATATATATTTTGCTCTTTAAAAATTAAAATAATAATGTTATTTTATATGATAATAAAAATTTGTATGGTGAGGATATAGAAAGTAAAATTGAAATGTTAGATATGTAAATACAAGAAATTGAGTAGTATGTAGGGCTGTCAAAAAAGCTCGTTATTCGCGAACAGCCCGTGTTCGACTCGTTAAGTAGCTCGTGTTCGGCTCGTTTGTTAATTAAACAAGCCGAACACGAACAACTCTTTGTTCGCACGTGTTCGTTTTAACTCCAAATTATAAGTTTTTTATTTTTAATCCAATTGTTTTTTAACTTCGAGCCACATATCCCTACATAGCAGCTTGATTGATGAAGTTTCTTAGTTGATGGCTAATATGTGAAATACCACTAGGGCTATCAAAAAGCTTGTTGTTCGCAAGCAGATCGTGTTCGACTCGTTAAGTAGCTTGTGTTCGGCTCGTTCGTTAAGTAAACGAGCGAACATGAACAAGTTTTTAAAGCTCGAATCATAAAAGAGCCGAACACGAACAATTCTTTGTTCATTCGTGTTCGGCTCGTTTTAGCTCAAAATAAAAAAAAAATTAAATAATTATTTATATAATAATATACTACATATATTATTTATATAATAATATATTATATATATTTATATCTAAGTTCAAAATGTAATTGCTTGTGTGGTGATGTGGTGATGTGGTGATGCGTCTTATTTTGTATACATTTGGTCCATGTTTGAATCTAAACACATCTACATATATTTTTTCAGTTTAATTTTATCGAGCCAATTTCGAGCCGAACACGAGCCGAACACGAACACGAATATTTAAATCGAGCAGAACAATAGACTATGAGCCGAATAAATGTCAAACCTGAGCTCGCCCAAGCAAGTCTCATTTACAACCCTATATTAAGTTTGAAATAAAAATATATAAGTTGGGAAGCTACTGGGGTGCCAGTACTCCAACCCCAGATACTAGCTGTTGCACCGCGTCGACGAAATAAAAGATGCTCGTCCAAAATGCCGAAGCTGAAGCAAGGAAAAAAGCTATGCAATCTTCTTCTTCCCACTACTCTCTCTTCACCTTCCTCCCTAAGGACACTCGTCACCTCTATTGCCTTCTGATCACAGCCGTCGCTTGCTTCCTCCTCTTCCTCCTATCCTTCTCTCCCTCCTCCCCTTCCCCTCTCCGATCATCCTCCTCCTCAGCCGCCGACGGCCTCGGATCATCCCCTCTACCTGCCCCTCCATCCTTCGCCTATTTGTTGTCTGGTTCTACAAACGACGCTGATCGCCTCATTCGTCTAGTCCTAGCTAGCTACCACCCCAAAAACCTTTACCTTCTCCACCTTGACCTCGCCGCACCACAGGAACAGCGCGATCGTCTTGCCCGGGATATCCACGCTGTCCCCGCCTTCAGATCCTCCCGCAATGTCCATGTTCTTGGACGTGCGGACTTCGCTAACCCCCGCGGATCCTCTGCTCTTGCTTCCACGATTCACGGCGCTGCGGTGTTGTTGCGTCTTTCTGGCAGATGGGATTGGTTTGTCAACCTCGGAGCTGATGATTACCCACTCGTTACTCAGGACGGTATGCTTTCGTCATATAGCTTGTTGAGTTATAGTTTGCTTTGGAGTTCTTAAATGGGAGTATCCGGTTGATATGACTTGATTTTCTTATGCAATGTGAAGAAAAACTATTGGTTATGGTTTCGATTGAGGTCTTTAAGGTAACTTTTTGCGGGTGATGATATCTTGATCAAAATTTTAATCCAGGTTATTGTAAAGTTTGCATTTATCTTGAGATGAGCGTGTATAACATTTCTCTCAGAGTAATCAAATGAGTTTGAGCTAAAAATTTAATCAAGATATATGGCGCTAATTTTTTTTAGGGTTTGAATGCCTGATTGGCTGAACTATTGGTGCATTCAGAAACTATTTGCTGCCGCCTTTCGTTAGGCTATCAGTTTTCATTCTTCGTTCTAGTAATATGCAGTATTTATTGGAGTTAAATTTTATGTTTCAGGTCTGTGCTAAATTACAGAGCAACTTCACACTTATTTGAGTCTTCAATATTCACTTAAAACATAAAGAACGACTAGTCTTCTTATTTTTTTTCTAAAATCTTAGAATAGCTTTTACCTTATGCTGGCAGCATTTGGACAGACCATTATATCATTTGGTGGTTTTAGTCTTCTTTTTTATTATTTTCTTCTTTCCTCATTCTTAATCAATATGATGGATGATTTAGAAAGTTAATTCAACCCTCAGTCAATGGAAGCTCTGTGCTTGAATAATTTGGAAATTTGTCTGTTTAGAAAAAAAAATGTTATCATATATCCAAATATTTCAAAAGACCAGTTCAAGTGAAATCATTCCGGCTGAAGATACCTCGATAGAACAAGAACATGAAGGACCGTGAGCCATTCAGCGTCACAATGAACTTGTTAAGCTCATAGTAAACTCATCAGGTTTATGGCAAACTCATTGAGACTAGTGTAAACTTGTCACAACATGCTTGGCCTAAGAATTAATCAGTTGTACTTGTCTAAGCTCATATGCTATTCGGTCTTATCCAAAAGTTGCCTGCTAAACTTAGTTACTTCTCGCTAGCATTCATTCAAATCAGCTAATGACTTAAACCAAGTCATAATTATAGCCAAATGTCAGTAATATATATATATATATATATATATATATATTGTATTTCAGTCAATTGAGGATATACTTATTTCTATATATTCTTTGGCTACCCACCACATGTATTTAATAACTATAAGCTTGATTATATTTTTACTTTATTCATAGTAGCCTTTCCAGTAGCAATGAACAACCCTGGCTTGAACCTATAAATAGGATGTTAAGCGGAAGCTCTACCACATCTAATTATTTTTTTACTCGTCTCTATTATTGACAATCTAATATAATCCCAAAAACTTTACATTTTAAATTCTCTTTCTTCTTGTCCTACTCCATATTTTGTTTTGTATAACTTGTTAGTCCTTTAAGGTTGTAGTTTTGCCTATTGATAAATTTGGATTCAACATTCTCAAAGGTTCAACAAGTGTGAATTGATGCTAATAACCAATAGTTAAGTGCTACAAGTAGCAAAGCAGCAAAACATAGAAGAATTTGGGAACATGGACAACCATGACCTCATGACAAACCATCATATTATAGAAGTGGAGGAATGAAAAAAAAAATATGATCTAAGAAGCATTACAACATATTTTTCAGAACCAGTGTAAGAGCAACAATTCCAAATAGATATTTAGACTCAGTTATAAAAAGAGACCCTTTATACAAACATGGCCTCAAATTGTAAGGTCATTAAACTCAGCTCCAATACTAAACGAGACCTATTATCTGCACAATAGTGTAGCATACTCCACCTTGGCGAGCTGAGAAGCATAATATCAACCGACGAATGTATTTTCTAGGGAAAATTTCCTAGCCTTAACTACCAACATATTTAAAAATTCTACACTTTGATTTGAATGAAATTCAATGGATCTTGTAGCATATTTCGAGTCAACTACTTCATTACTAGATTTTAATTATGCTATAAAATGTTGACCATTTATTACAATCTAGGAGGTTCCATTAGGACGGTTCTCGAATCTCTCACTCATATTATTGCAAATATTGTCGAGTTAGTGTTTATAAATTGTTGAAGAACATGTAGACTCTCTTGAAGATTAGGCGAAAACTCAAATAGTTGTTGTGAAAGTTATTACTTGCTTTCAACATGAGATGTTGAGCATCAAAGATTTTGATTTGTAGCCGCCTTTGCCATGCAACTTAAGAACTAAAAGGCCATTTAGATATACTCTAAAAAATAAGCAATTGAAGAATTGGTGCAAATGTTAGAAATCACTAATAATGCAATCATTAGGCATTGTTAAAATCTCAATATTTTGAATATGTTAACTCAAATTGACATTGGCGTTAACCGATTGGAAATTGAGGCAATTTCAATTTGTTTAAAATAGAGCTCCCCATAATACTCATCATAATCTGCCATCCTCTCATCGTTATGTTGGTAAATTGAATGTAAAAATTCGGCTATTGTTGTTAGAATTTCTTACTCCTTTATGAGTATCTTATGTCGAGTTGATGATTGTGATTAAAGATAATAAGCATTTTTAATGATTGCTTCCATCATATTCCCAACCACATGCTTGAGTTTTAACAAAATGTTGTGCTTTTCATAATGACTACAGTTCTGATACTGAAGGTTTTCAATATCTTTGTGGACTAGTTGAAGAACTCTCTCAAGGGGTGAAGTTAAAGAAGTTTGTATTAGGTTAAGCTAAAACATAATTGTATAATAGAGAAGAAAGAACAGATAATATCTCTCCAGTACAAGTTATTTGAATTGGGAAGTGTACCATAATTGGAAACGGGATTTAAGGGAATTGCTTTAAATTTACAATTCATATGTATTTCTTTAATAATTGTAAGCACTAAGGTACTATTTTGTTTCGAGTGCTTTCTTTACAACATAAAAATGTGATTTTTGCCACTTACTTTAAGTTGAGTTGCTTTTAAAATTGTTTGTACATGAGGAATTTGATGAGTACTCATTAGGCAATTCACCATGGTATTAGAAATTTCTAATGCTTAGGGAATTGGAATTTGACATTCACTGCTTACATGTCATACTTAAGGAAATTGGTAATTAAAGTTATTTATATTGAATGAGTTTGATATTCAGAATTATTTTCAATATTTAAGAAACTTGTTGCTCAACTTAAAAGGTTAATGATTAAGTACTCGAAATTATGTGTCGGATTTCTTGTACAACTTATTTCTTGCAAGTATAATACTAAAAAAAATTGGTGCTATAGTCATGTAACTAGTTACTTGAAAATCCTTATTCAATTATTTGGATTTGCAGTTATACTTATTTAATGAAGTCGAACAACCTTCATAAATTTAATTACTTGGAATTCTATCTCCTTAGTTTTACACCTTGATATTTAAATGTCTTATAAGTTAAGTGTCATGTTAAATTTTTTGTGTGATAAAAAATTTGTAGCCCTAAAGGTTGACTATTCCTTTGTGATAATATCCACATTAAGTAGTTTGAGTATTCTTTTTAAGCGACAAGTATAGATGGTTACTCTACAAAATTTGTAGCCCTAAAGGTTGACTATTCCTTTGTGATCATATCCACATCAAGTAGTTTGAGTATTCTTTTTAAGCGGCAAGTATAGATGGTTACCTCTACGAAAATGAGAGTTTTGTGAGTGTTGAGGCCCATCTAACATGTCGATGACATATCTCAAAATACTTTGAGCGAGATAACTTAGGTAAAAAATTATTATCACATTTCTTTTACGCATATACATGACACAAAATCAATATTGTGAATTTCCTATTATTATCACATTTCTTTTACGCATTTGATATGATATACATGACACAAAATCAATATTGTGAATTTCCTCAAGATATTATTAAAAGTAAAATCGAAAAGAAATTTGCAAGAATCTTTTATGGGCAGTTTGGTTGAATCTAAAATGAGGACACCACATTTGAAATTTTAAGGGTTTGAGAATTTTTTTGTGGTTCCAGCGAATTCCGAATTTTTCTAAATTTGTTTAGGTTTTGAATACACTGCAATCTGTTATCGTTCTTGCAACCCACTGCCATTATATATTAATCGCAGCCACGCTTTGTATCAGCCATTGCTTGCTACTGGCTAGCTGCTGTCGCTAGACAGCATCATCATTTTTGTCAGTTGTCGCTGCTCATTGCTACTCATTCTTGTCGTCAACATGCTTCCTCTGTTGGTGGCTACCTGTTGCTTGGCCGCTATAGTCACCTAGCATTGTAGCTTGCTATCGTCATCAATTGCTTGCTGCAGCTCATTGCTATTATTTTTATTTTGCCTCAAACTAAACACAAAAAATAATTTAGGACATTTATTTTATATTTAATCAAACAACTCTAAAATATCTTAAATACATTGCATTTCATTTACGCTGTTGTTTTTATACTCTGCACTCTTTTTTCAGCCAAATAAATGGCCTCTCAATCTCCTTTAATTGCTAGTAAGATGTGTATACATATTATTAAAAGCAAATATTATGAAGTACATATTAAAATCCATACTTTGAAGAATGTTCACTAAGAACTATCAGGATTACCTTCTTTCCATTTTAAATACTTATTGTTGTTACGATAGAAGATGCTGAGATTCCGCTATACGTAGTTTAGCGCATTTTAATTCACAAACACATCTAAATAAAATAATATATGTTCATGATTCATTCATGAATTCACTTGGTTTTGATGGAGTTGATCAGCAAGAGGAATTAAAGTTATGAGCATATAATTAAGGTTGGCCAACTTAATACAATTCAATTTATGGAAAACCTTAACTTTGACTATAGGATTTTGGTTTAAGGAATTTGCTGGTCTTGTAGGTTTAAAATTTTGAGGACATTAATTTAAAATGCCTAGAGGTGTCCTGAGAGTTTCATGATTTTTGGAATATCTTCTTTATTTTTTTTAACTTTAATAAAATTAGGTTAGGAGAATTAATCTCTTGCCAAAACACCAAAAATAATTTTTTTATCTTGA